GTTGTTTCTGCAGAGCGGCCCCCGTCACACAATGATCCTTACAAACACCAGTGATTATAATACCTGAATCATGTAAACAACCAACATGTAATTATAAACATGTAAGATCTACGTTGACGATCTGTGTCCAGTTCCAATAAAAAATCTTCTCAGAGTAAAATTTTTGTCGTTAGATTTTTTTGTCTAACTGGACTCTGAGATGTAGGTCGTGATCTGTCTGAGGCTTGTACACTAAACTATATAAGAATTCAGTTATATTTTTTACTATTAGCTATGTAAAAGTTTTGATGCTTAAATGACCAAATATCCAATCAGCACTGGTTTTTTTTTTATTAATTGGATTCTTATTCATGAAGAATTTCGCAATCGCCTAACATTTGACTGACAGTCACGAATTAACTGAAGAATACTTGTGATAATCACGTACGCTATTTGTCTACAATTCCATACGAAATACCGCTTGAGCATATAAAGTTGCATTTCGAGGTCAGTGAGTCAATATCCAAGGGAAATGATTAATTATAAAAAAAGAATCTTTCATGACGTACATACACACACGCCAGGCAGCAATTTGGGAAGCAATTGATCTTGTGTTCATGGTGTATATATTTTTTCAGAACAAAAGGACGATTATCGCCTATTAGAGTCAGTCAATAGGGAGCCGTCAGTTATATCTCTGATTAAACGATGCCATTATGAAGCTGTATAGATCTATTTAACGAGGAAAATGAAGTATCTGGTTAAATGACTAGTTATTGTTCTAAAGTATATTAATTCTGAGTTTAATCATTATCACTTATATAATAGTTTCTACATCATTATAAAACAACCTACCTATAATTAACATGTATCAAACACCGGGCAACAGGTGCTCGTTTTACCAAGCAAATATCATGCTTGTTGTATATAACCGGGGAAATGTCAAGTCTAGTTTTATAGAGGAAATATCAAACCTACTGTATCGTATTGCGCACCTTCCCCCCGTTTTAAAACTGGCAACAAGATTCTCAAACATTATTTAAGAGCAGTATTCAAGTCTCGAAGTCTTCTGTGCAGCGATAATTAATAGATACATGGCATGAAAACATCCAACGTTAGGAAAATTAAAACCCTCCACCCTCGCTTTGAGCTTAATTTTGCAGTAAATTGTTTAATATTGCTTGCTTTCTGTTATTGTTAATTTTATATAGACTCAAATTTGTCATGGGTCGAATTTTCTGTTTGATTATAGGTTATTCCGCCTCTGACTCAAAGTTGTGTTGGTGTGTAGAGGCAAGATGCAAATGTATAACAAAATAATACACAACTATATATCAGTGTATTATGATGCAATGATATGATAGATGTATTCTGGATTCCTCTTTGTTGTGTATGTTGAGCAGCTATGACGGATATGGCGCCAAGCAGAGTATGCTTACACCTGATACCATTTTTCATTATGAAATGCTTACTCACTTATAATTGATATACTTCCTCATGTGGAAAGTTCATTAGCTGCTACCAATGTTTTGCCAATATGTTGTTTGGATTTCGGGTTTAGTTTCGCGCTTTGCGGATTGTTAGTAATTGGTTTATTTATTCCTTAATAATCTGCCGAAGAAATACATAAAAGAAAAAACTTGTTCGTTGTTTGAAGATTTATGATAAAGCACACAGATGTTATAAACAATACATTATAAAAGATGATCACCGAGAGCTGACGAGTTGTATCCTGGACAATAAGAAGAGATATCACTATGAAACGAGTGAAGACGAGGTAGACGAAGCGTGTCAAGACGTCTTCTGTCTGAAATCATGTTCGGATTGTACCTGACCATAGCTCGTATCGTCGCTTCTTCAATTATCTGTTGTGTCTAATAGTCCCGATCTATAAGTTGTATATGGACACTGTACCTCGTCTTTTCACACCTCGAATCTGTTCGCAATGTGAGAAAATTAAAAAGCCAACAAACTGCTGTTTGCAATTGCAGACTCGTAATAAGCACATTTAGTTCCGAAGAATTTCGACATTTTTCCGTGATTCGGCATAAACCCACTTAAATGATTCGAGAAGATTTCCTTGCGAATGATTTTAAGCTGAGATACCTACAAATATTCTTATTATTTGCTGATATTGATATAGAACATAGATGATACCACTAGACTCGAGTCTTTGTGTTTTCTCTCTAGGTAGTATTAAATCCAAGATAGATCACAAATTTGCGAATAAACCACTTTCGTTTAATACCAATGGAATTTGTCATTAAAATTTGACGTCACAAAATTCAAATGATGTTAGCATTCAGCCATGTTTAAAACACGTAACGGAGTTCCATTACCGTTACCGTTACTATGGTTTCTACTATTCACAATGACGGAGTTGACGTAGTCCTCGTCATCGGCGAAACTTCCGTCTAGTGTTATCTGAGAATGATAAGTCTGATCGGCATACAGACGACTTTTTGTGTTGCCCAATGTTAGTCCGTTCACTCGGTCTTTATCACCGTCCTTAGATTTCACACATCCATTTCCGGTTAGAGTGTCATACATGCTTTGACTTCCGGTTATGTTCTCATTATTCAGTCTACGTTTTAATTGGAACATTCGAAGACTATGAATGGGCGATTCTGGCGATGCTTGAGGCGAGTTATCAGTGGAGGCACTTTTCTTGTTGATTGTGTGATAGCGAGACATGGGATTACTCGAGTGTTTCTGTTTTAAAGACGTATATTGTTTCTTGAAGTCGGCTACTCCTATCTCCGTCAGTTGACAGCCGACACGACTCACGTCCAGGTTCGACGACGAACGTTCTGTTGTATCAATTAAAAAGCCACGAGGTCGTCTGCGAAATTTACAAGTCAATATCCGTTTAAACGCGCGTTTAAATTCCCGACTGGAGCATGCGTAGATAACAGGATTCATTAGAGAATTACAATATCCTAGCCAGAATATCACTTTAAATAAATCTTCTGGAATCTCACAGACAGGGCACAGCGAACCTGAAACGAGAAAAGGGAAAGAAATTAGGAAATTGCGAGACTTCTTGGGGTTAAAATGCTGAAATCAGGATAACAAAATGTTCAATGAGTTAGAACCTACTCTCTATGATTACATGTCAATATTTAAAAACTAAACGGATCAACAGCAAATCAAAAATAAAAGATGTCTCTGCACAATCTGAATCTGGCTTTCCATTATTTTTCAATTGTGCCTTTTTCGAATATAAGATTTAGTTAAACATGAGTCCTGGTTTTAGAGGACTGGGGTGGGGGAGAGGGGGGAGGGGGTGCAACTATTACTACTTTTAATGATGCCAATGGATAGCCAACACTAACAGATCTCTATATACATGTACTATTGAACACTGTATAGGTTCAGTCACAATCCTGTTTTCTAGAACGGTGTCTGCCTATCTGTGATGCAAGTCTGGGGTTCGACGTGGAAAGTGCGAGGGACTGGACACGAAACCTAGAGTCCGTATGCAACAGGCTGTGGCCGTTAAAGATCCCTCGACAGTCAGAAATCAAAAAAGAGTAGGTCATTGTCCCAGCAAAATTAACCTAACTGCACACTGCATGACGTTGCCTTCATTAGGGTGCAGAAAAGTAGGACATTTCATTTTTTGTTTGTAATAAGCTGGCAAATTACCTTAAAACTACACAAATTAATTTTTCATTCTAAAATCAATCCGGAATAACAATTTGAAGGGGATTAATTTAATAATCAGCCACGCTGTCAGATTGTCAGTTAAGATGTTTGAAATAATAAAATGTCATTAAAAGCTCAATTTCCTGTGTTGTTTCCTGTAATTGTTATCAAACTATGATTTGTTACGTGAATTAGAAATGTTTTTTAACAGAAATCACAAGCTATTAGTTTTTTCAATCTCTTGATTATATAAAATCACCCATTATCTTCATGAAATCCTAAAAATGTTCTTCTCAACGGGAAATTTACCCAGGTCAAATTCTTGACAACCCGCAAGAGGCTTAAAGCAGTTAAAACGAGTTGGGAGGGGGCCTGGGGGCGTCGCATATCAACACATGGCTTCGAATCCGCCACAAATCGCAAATAGACTGTGTTTATGTTTAGAGGCTTCACCTGGATTATGTCTACGCGGCACCATCTTCAGATAAGAATGATGATCAAATAAACTCCTCGGTGACCCATATTCACAATGTCAAGCTTTTACGAACTTCCTACTTATACCTTGACTACAATAGCCACTATTATAGTATCACGGAATGCAGTGATTTGATTGGATTGTACGCCAGTGAGTACAACCAATTAGAACCCAAAACAGAAAGGCTGTAACACTACGGTTTTGTGTTCACAGACTTAATGTTGAGGCCTTTGTTTGGCTGTATTCGCTGTATTCAAATCTGATCAAATTGCTTCATTTACAAACTCCCGTAATAAAAGAAAGGTGACTATTGCAGTCAAGGTATAAGATGAAGAATAGCTTCACAGTATGAAGATGCGGAAACCTGGCTATATTAATCTAGTCTATATTATATTAGATCTCCAGGCTGGCTGATATAAGAATTTGATCATTTGATACGATTTTTAGCTCTCGTGTTTATTTAATTATTTTGCCAATGACATATTTTTATCCTATGTATTGTTTTTGTCGTCAGTTATATGAAGTTGATTTAGCAGATTGTATGAATACACGATGATTAATAGAATGGTAATTTGATATTATTCAAAGCTTTTCACGGAAATATTTAGAATTTGTATTATTTATTAACAGATTACCAAGCAAGAGTAAATAGACAATCAATATTGTTGGTGTATATAACTAAGAATTCACAACGAATGGCGATTTACTTTTCCTTTAAATTAAAAAGGTTATAACGACAGATTGTTGGAATGAAATGAAGTTTTACGGTATAATTCCCTGTATATTGTATTTTTCCAATCTTGTCTGTCCTAGTACTCCTGCTTATACTGTCATCTACTTCCCCTTTAAGAAACCATAAGCTTCAGGACGAACTTAACAGTTCTCCAGTTCATCAAATCTATAAATACATCGCACAGAGAAATAGTCGAACAATGTTTACATCAACACGTGTAGATCCAATTCAAAACATAAAAACGAGTGGGAGAAAGAGGAAAGAGCATCCAGAGAAACCTGTTGAAAGATAATATAAATATCAATTTAATATCAATTCTACACACAATATCATCAACGCTGACCTGATGGAAATCTGTAAAAATTTCTTTTGAAGACTTGAACTGATACACCAAATAATGTCTGTCTGACTAATTCAAATTATTTTCTAAGGAATCTGTGATTAAATCTTCATTAATTTCTCCTGGTTTTTTTATTTGATCACGCGCCGTTAGATATTCTAGACTACCTTAATTGACTCAGGCGCGGTGAATTGAATTATTATAATAGCTTCACAGAATACTGGTCGTAGTCATTTTAATTGAATGAAGATCAGTTAATGAGAGAAAACTGTCCTTCCATTTAAAAACAAAATACTGTATTTAGCAAACAGAAATCTAATAATTTGGTAGCATACTAGGAATCTTGGCAATAATACGCTAAGTACTGACAAAATTTGAGAGTAGCTTGATTTCCAGCGACTGCAGAATTATAAAGCTGTAATTAGTAGATCTGGACGCAATGAAACAAAATTGCAGTGGCCGCCATTTACTCCCGTTTATTTTCCATTGAAATTCTGATAGTCTACCCGAGCGATCGTTATTTATGACAATCCAGTTGATTCTGTTGATAGTAGTCGGTGAATATCGTGATACAAGCATTTTGCTCATGTCGACTGCGACCAGCTCAGTGAGATGTTTTGAATTGCCAGTCGACTTGAATTAATTTAAGTATTTATATGTAATAAATTAGCCTATGGAGAGCTTGAACACGTAACATAGAAAGAGTCAGGTGATCCCGCTGTTCTATTGACAAATCTCTTTTCAACGTAAGAAATCAACGGAAATAAATGTGAAATGATATAGAATTGAATCTAATCACATGATTTATTGAAGGTTATCTTGATCTCAGGTGTACAGACAGGTATCTGTGTTCGGTCGATAATTGATAATTCACAAATGGTTTATTTATATTGATAATCATTGATTCATACAGAAAGTGAACAATATCGCGACACGCTTTTCGTCCATGTGAAAATATAAGACAATCCATAAGGCGTAGGTCGTGGCTACTATGCATTAATCAAATTTTACGTTTTTAGATTCGTTTGTTAACGTCTCAAATAGAAAAATATCTGAGACACAAGCAACGTCCGGAACGAATGTGAAACGTTACGCCGCTGTTAAAATAGAGATATTCGGCAATTCCACTTAAAGACGTGTTTTGGTCACGAGAAACATCAACCAAAATTTCGTTATTTCAAGATTCGATTGTTAGTGTACACAAATAGAAAAATAAAAGGAAGACAGAAGCCACGTTTAAAATGTAAAGTGTTTCGTCTCATATTCACAATAGATGACAATTCAACTGTCAGGCGTGGGTTGACCATGAATCAAAGTTTCGTGATAATAAGAATAATTTTTACAGTACAACAAACCTCACATGTTTTTTAATATTTAGATTGATAGTTTGATATTAATCATTAGTGTAGGTTTTTTACTTCGGTTTAAAAAGCATCAGTAAGATAATTACTAATGTTGACAAACCCATTTCTGATGGCAATAACATCACATCTTAATTAGTTTATTGATTTATTTCTCATCGTTAAAGATAACCACTGTCATCCAGATTCCTCGACTACCTTCCAGATTGTCTGAGGTAAAGAAGGCCGCTAGCTTTCAGATTGTCTGAGGTTACAGAATATCACACTACCTTCCAGATTGTCTGAGGTTACAGAATATCACTACGTTCCAGATTCCCCGACTACCTACCTGATTGTCTGAGGTTACAGAATATCACTACCTTCCAGATTCCCAAACTACCTTACAGATTGTCTGAGGTTAAAGACAACCACTACCTTCCATATTGTCGGAGGTAAAGAAGGCCACTACCTTACAGATTGTCTGAGTAAGGCCACTACCTTCCAGATTGTCTGAGGTAAAGAAGGCCACTACCTTCCAGATTGTCTGGGGTAAAGAAGGCCACTACCTTCCAGATTGTCTAAGGTTAAAGAAGGCCACTACCTGAGGTAAAGAAGGCCACTACCTTCCAGATTGTCCGAGGAAAAGAAGGCCACTACCTTCCAGATTGTCTGAGGTTAAAGAAGACCACTACCTGAGGTAAAGAAGGCCACTACCTTCAAGATTGTCTGAGTAAGGCAACTACCTTCCAGATTGTCTGAGGTTAAAGAAGGCCACTACCTGAGGTAAAGAAGGCCACTACCTTCAAGATTGTCTGAGTAAGGCCACTACCTTCCAGATTGTCTGAGGAAAAGAAGGTCACTACCTTCCAGATTGTCTGAGGTAAAGAAGGCCACTACCTTCAAGATTGTCTGAGGTAAAGAAGGCCACTACCTTCAAGATTGTCTGAGGTAAAGAAGGCCACTACCTTCAAGATTGTCTGAGTAAGGCCACTACCTTCCAGATTGTCTGAGGTAAAGAAGGCCACTACCTTCAAGATTGTCTGAGTAAGGCCACTACCTTCCAGATTGTCTGAGGAAAAGAAGGTCACTACCTTCCAAATTGTCTGAGGTAAAGAAGGCCACTACCTGCCAGATTGTCTCAGGTAAAGAAGGCCACTACCTTCCATATTGTCTGAGGTTAAAGAATATTGATACATTCCAGAACCAGTGGAGTGTTACCAGTATTTTAAATACTTTTTAGAGGTGAGGTCCACTGGCGGTTAATCTTTTTTGCAGTTAACAGTCAACACAAATGAAAAAATCGATAATTGCATTGCAAAAAAACTGGGTGATTGGTGATTCTAATCGCTCAGGTCAACTTTCGGATTACTACCAGCAACTGCGACAGTGTTAGTTTGCGTTCAAATCGACCAGTTTATTTATTCTGTATCTAGTTGAGAATCCAGTCAGAATTTTACCTGTGT